AAAGTCAGTTTGTAATACTAAAATTTTAAACTTAAGAGATTCTGCATTTAAAAAATCAGGTTTCTGTCTTTTTTTTTTTTTTAAGAAGATTGGTCATTCTAGGTCTGTTTTCTCATGTGGCTATAAACCATTTTGGATGGTTCATGACTCCAATCTGCCTTGGTCCCATTATACCCTCTTGTATTACATATAAGCATTTATCTAATATGTTTGTGTTACTTGCTTGGTTCATTTAGATCTAAATATAGTCTAAATAAGACTGGATGATACAGCAATGGGTTTGAAGAAGGGAGAAGCCTGACCCCTGATATAATTTGAACCCCAGAAGATTGGAAAATGAGATATGTTGTGGGTTTCCTCAGAGAGCAGCTGGCCTTCTCATCCAGATTGGGTACCATGCTGTATATTCTCCAAACTCCCAGACTCCCTCCTCTGAGTTGGACTACTATGGTAACCACTTAGGTATTCGGGCCTGATTTGTCTGGTATATCTCTCTTCCTCTAGCAAACAAAACACCAAATATCACATTAACCACTCATAGCATAGGGCCTCCTGGTCTCTAAGACATTCTCACTAAATGATTACCCAATATACATTTTTTTCTTTTGACATTATAAAACACAATGTTTTCCAACTTTAGGGACCACTTATTAGGTTTTTAGCTATGTAACAAGGGGGCAAGGCACGTTTGGTCTGTGGTTAAAAAATTAGGGCTCTTAGCCAGAATTTCTTGGGTTTAAGAGCTTGTTTATTGTGTTATACTGAAGAAGTAATATAACATCTCTATGACTCAGTTTCCTTCTCTGTAAGAGGATGGAGGGGATTGTGGATAATAATAGTGACTACTTCAGAGGACCATTGTGACACCGGGTAAATCAAGAAATAAGAAGTGTTTACAACAGTGCCTGGCACAAGGTGAATATGAGAAAGAGGTTAGCTATTCTTACTTACTTGTGATACTAACATGTAATAGTTATGTTATTACTCCCATTTGTCAAATGAGGAAACTGGATGAATTAAATAGACTTTTTTCAGTTGCCCGTTTAAATGAGTCCTTCACATCAGCTCTCTGTGCTAACAAAAAACTAAAAAGGAAGAAAGAAGTGAATGTTCTCACATTTTTGAGAGTTGGGACTTGGAAGACACTGGGGCTTGGCAAGATGAAGACAATAAATCAAAGAAACAAAGGAAACTGCACAGCAGTTTCAGGCTGGGGACTTGGCCATCCCTCCTGCAAGTTAATGGAATGGAACTCTGTAAGTCCATGCAAAGCCTAGGGCAGGGAGGAGAAATGTGCTCTCCACATGTTCTGGAGGGGAGATGGAGCCAGGCAGTGTGACTTGGGTTAGTGGGAACTAGCATCTCCAGGCTGCTGCAGGAAGAACAGCACTCCCAACAGTTGAAAGCTCCTTGCGAACTCTGCCAGCACCTCCAAGGCATGGCCATGTCCTCAAACCAAAGTCTTTTGAATTTTTTAAAGTCAATGGCTGCATCCATGTGACAGGAAATGGATGCCAACATAAAGCAAACAAAGAGATGCGAACCACTGGAGAGGACCCTCTTCCTGAAAAGAGGAGTACTGCATTGGTCTTTTGAGAAAACATTTGCAATGGGGGACAGGAATAAATCCAGAAGCCTGTTCATACATAATGCCCCAAACTAGAAACAACTCAAATGTCCATCTTCAGGAGAACAAAAATGAGTGCTTTCAGAGTGAAATACTACCCAGCACGGAAGGTGAATGAAACCCAAAACATGCAGCAGCAGGGATGAATCTTGCAAATATAGTATGGTGTTGAGGCAAAAAAAACCCAAAGCGAGAAAGCACAAACCAACCTTGTTTTTTATGTAACTGCCAAATCAGGTGACGTTTGTCCCAATCAGATGTTAGAAGTCATGGTAGTGTCTGTCCCCTTAGAGGAAGTGGCAGGAGGGACTTGAGGCTCTTTGGTCCTATTCCTTGGTCTGAGTGCTGGCCACTCAGACATGTTCATTTTGAGAGGCTCAAAGACCTGTCAAGTAATTTTTTTGTACTTATCTGAATATATATTTCAATCCTCTTCCTTCCATGACCTGGGATCAAGTTTGCCCCGGGAGGAACAGATAGCCCTAGAGTCCTGGTTCTTCACAGTAACAAACTAGGGTGCTTTAGAAGTGGTAACCTGGGCCGGGGATTTAGCTCAGCAGTTCGGTGGCCTGCCTCGCAAGGGCAAGGACCCGAGTTCAATCCCCAGTACCAAAAAGAAAAAAAAAAGAACGAAGTGGTAACCCAATTTGAGCAGAGCTCATATTTCTTGGGTGTGGTTGTCAGTTCTGAGTGTTGTGGGTCATGGCTATGGCTTTACCTCGGTTTTTCTCCTTGTCCCCTGATGCAGTTCTATGGGCCTACAGCCCTCTTTTTCCACTGAAATGATCTCTACAAAATGCTATCCAATATTCAGCTTGCCCAGGGGCCAAAGGCAAGGCCACCTCCACATCAACTCCCGGCTGCCTCAGGTGACAGCAGTACAAACACTCATTCCCTTCACTCTTAGTGGCCAGGAGTGAGCGGAAGCCTGGGGCACCTTGAAGCTGAATGGGAGGGTCTGAGGCAGTTTGGCGGCTGATACCAAGGGAATGGTCTGACAAGTATCAGAGGGTGACTTTTCACAGGATTGGCAGTGTAGAGACAGGAAAGAGGGAGAGGCCCTGCCTGTGGTGAGCTGGGTTACACAGAAATCTGAGAGGAAGCAGCCAGAAGCGGCAGGGGTGGGGACCCACTGGCCACCTGGGTGGGTGTCCTCAGGTCCTGGCTGGTGCTCCTGCAGTGTGATATCAAAGCTGTGCAGACTGAATGGACATGCCTTGTCCAGGCTAACTCTGGGTGGGTCAGCTGGCTTGGATAAAACAACAGGGCCTCAACGTGACAGTCCCCACATTCTTGCAGACTTGAAAGGGAAATCCTCTGGGCTCTTACTGGACTCCTGGGGCCCAGCCTGGGCTGGCCAGGAGGCTGCACAGAGGAGGGACATGGGGAGGGCCATGCGTGCTGTCAAGACTTCAGGCCATCAGAGCTGCTTTCATCTTGCAAGGGTTCTGTAGACTGAGCCACTTCATGACTTCTTGTCCCCCGCTTTTCTCCCCAACTTGTGTCCACCCTCTTCCTGCTGCTCCCGCTCACCCACTCCTACTGACCCACTTCCATGGCCAGTGTCCATAGCCCATCTGGCCTCATAGTTTTTTGGGTGTTTACCCCGCTCCTGCTGTCTCTTTGGAAGCCACAGCTCCTATTCCTTTCCTACTCCCATCTCCCTTGCTCTTCCCTTGTATTCTTGGGTTTTCATTATTTTCTTTCCTATCACTAAGAAGGCAGGATGCATAAGAGGCCAGCAGAGGGCCAAAGCACTGGAGCTGGGCTGAGGGTGCAAGTGAGCACCTTGGGTTTTGCCTCAGATGTGTGTGACTTTGTGCAAAGAATAGATACTTTTGCTGTCATCATTGTTCTCATCTGTAGATGAGGACAGGTAACCCATGGCAGGAATCCATGGGTGTGCCAGTGCTGGTGTCAGGGCCAATGCAAAGAACAGAGCTCTGCACTGGCTCTCACAAGTTGCTGAATATCCACACCATATATCTTCTCAGATACTCACACATACCTACAGATACACGAAAAGATAGGTGATAGATAGATAGATAGATAGATAGATAGATAGATAGATAGATAGATAGAGAGATATATACACGAAAAGATAGGTGATAGATAGATAGATAGATAGATAGATAGATAGATAGATAGATAGAGAGATGGAGGTAGAAAATAGGAGGACAACTTGGACTAAATACTTAATGTTATAGATCCTTGTATCTAATTAAAGTCTCACATGGATACTGAATAAGAATCATCTTTCCCCTGAACTCACGTAATAGCTTCTTCCAATCAGGTATAACTCATTTTTTTACAGTTAGGTAAAATGAGGAAGCAGCTTAAAGCTAGTTTTTCTTCTGCTCCCTGTAACTCCTGGTTCCTGATTGTGGTGACAATGCTCATAACCAAATGAATGGAGGGCATAAGATACACAAGGCAAGTGGAGAATTTAAACCAACTGTATTCTTAGGTGCACCTATGTCTGCACAGAGTTCAGCCTGTGCCCTCCCATTAAACTGCCAGCATCCCCTCCTTAGTAAAGAATATTCTCTTCATTTTCTCTACTCCTTCTATTCAGCATCCCTATCCTTTTTCAAGATTGGTGGCTGATTTATCTAAAACCTATGCTGTTTCACAGTGTTTTAAAAAACAGATTAGAAATTGCCTTTCAGTTTTCTAGCGGCAACTATATCCACGAAACCCTAGGAATGTAAAGGACAGGGGAAGATGAATAATAGTTCTGAGACAGATGTGTCTGGCAGTGCTCTGTGCAAAATGGCTTCTTTCTCTTTTTCATCCATTAGCAAAGATGGAAGCTGGGTTTGATCATTTGCACAAGGCTCAGTGACCAGTGCATAAATCTGCTATTGGATCCTGGAAGAATTCGAAGGAACTGGAGTTAGCTGAGGAATTGCAGCAATGCTGATTTTCCAAGGGCCTAGGAGAAGCCAGGAGTCCTGGCAGAGCAGTTATGATGTTCTCTCCCCAGGCTGCAGGTTAACTTCCGTTAGCACAATGGACGCAACGTTTCCCTCCTCAGAGTCGACATGACATGGTCTGTTCCCTTTTGCCCCTGTCAGTTCTGCAAACCAGGCACCACAGACTGCACACTCAGGAGAGAGAGCCTGCCTTTTTGGAACACCATTTGTTTAGACAGGACAGGCCACTAAGGCATTTTCATCTCTTTCAAGCTACCAGGGCAGAGAGCATATTTGAGGAATTTCTTTTTTTCAAAGTTTCTTTCTTTCTTTTTTTTTCTTACCCCTTCCAACATTTTGTTTAAGAGAAAATGAGATGTCTATCTTCTGTTTCCTTATTTTTTTTCAGGAAAGCAAAGGGTTGTTGACTTCCTCCCTCTCCCCTCCCTTCCTTCCTTCTTCCTGAAGGTACTCATCTGAGAAAAAGAGAACGAAGTATTGTTCCTGTTCTCCTTCTTAAGTCATATGAAACACTGTCCCCGCTAGTTCTTTAAGTTCCCTGCAATCTGTACACAAGAGAGAGGGAGAGAGAGGGGGGGAGAGAGACAGAGAGAGCCAGGGACCAGGTAAAGCGGAAGGGCTGCTGCAGCCATCCAGACCCAGGAGCTGGTAAGTTACCAATGCAATCCTTTCTACTTCGTTTCCAAGTCCCTGGGATGGAGGCTACTCTGGGTGTCTTCTGACAAATAATCCCTTACTACGTGTAGACCTTAATCAAAGGGGATGACTGATGAATGGCCCAGAAGTTAAGCTTATAGATTTAAAAAAAGAAGAAGAAGAAGAAAACAGAATAGTTTGTATTACGTTTTTGCAGTTCTGAGGCTGACAGAACAGGAAACAGAATTGCATTGGGGTTGAGAGGACACTCCGTTGTATCTGAATTTGATACAGATAATGTGGTAAGGTTAGCTGGGAGTCACTGGGGTATAGGATGTGTCTCACGGGATGGGTCGCTCCTCCTCAGCACTGTGTCCTTGGAATCTTCTCAGGGTATCTGTTAAGAACTGTGGTTTACACGGGAAGGGGGAGTGTTGTTGCATTGTGTCTGGATTGAGGTACCCTTCTCTTGCTCTTTTCTTTGCATTTCCAAAAGAGGGCTGTTAAATTGTGACTGCTATTCTGCATCACTGAAGTAGGAGGGGGAAAAAAGAATAAGAATGTCACTTTGAAATAGAACTGCATGTGGGGATTTATGTATTCAGGTGCTACACATGGGCCAAAGGCAAGTTTATTATTCACTGTTGATGGAAAGTATCATCTGCCACACAAAAGAAGGCAAAGATTTGGGGGCATATAGCTTTAGTTTTGGAAAACAACATGCGACTCGAAATGGGAGGATTAAGATTGATTGCTTGTGTCAATAAGAGTGAAAAACTAAGCCAGAGATACAATTGAAAATGCTCACGCAGTGCCTGGTTTTCCAAAGCGCCAAATCGAACAGAGCGAGCCAGTCAAGTTTATATACCACCAGTTTCTGAAAAGCCTGACTTGCTCCCATTAGATTCATCAGAAGGGATAATGTTACCAAAAACTCATTATGGCTGGTGATGAAGGAGCCAAAATTGTATTATCAAAAATAGGTCAGGGAGGTCATTATGAAAGTCTATGCATGTTTACTAATATTAATAATTTAATTCAGAGAGGTGCTCTGTGGGCTCGAGGCAACGGCCATGCACACATTTTGAAATATTTATTGCTATGAAATTTGCTGGTTGAAATCCCCTGGAATGTGAAGAGTATAATAAAAATAGCTGGACTCTTATTTTTAAATTAATTTGGCCAGATTATGCATTAACCACTATCAAGTAATTAATCTTTTTGTGAGGCCAAAACATCACCTTAATGAGGATGAGACAATATGATAGAACTAGACTTGTGTAGGTTTTGTTCCATTTGTCAGACCTCTTTTTTCCTTCTCCTTTCTTCAAAAGACTTTCCTTATAATCACCACAAAGTTTCCAAATATAAAAGAGGCATGATTAGTGTTAGCAAGCTTAAGGGTGCAAAATGATTCAAATAGCAGTTGCAAGTGGTTTTGAGCTCCTCTGTCTCTTCTCTTGTCACCCTGTTCTCATAGATCTTTAGGTCAAAAGGTAACTAGGACTGATTATCTTGTTCATTTTGTACCATTTATCAGCAACTGTGACCCCAGAAAAAAATTTAGGGCTGTGATCTTGACTTGATTCTTTCGGTTTCATTTCTCTTTGACAATGTTTAATGCTATGCCTGATTAAAACAACAGCACAGAATGTGCTCTATTTTTGTTATTGTATTAAAGCATCTGAAACAAATGACAACAGTAATTCTGACTAAAGACAAGTAAGGCAAAAGTGGGGGAGGCTACATCCGGTGTGTCTTCACTGTAGCCAGAGACTAAAGAGATGTAGATATACTATTTTCCTTATGAAGAAGAAAATATATACTCAATATTTCCATGTACTTTGTGAAGTTGTTGCCATGAGAGAATACGTGGAGGATACCAGGGGTAGGGGGAGATTCAGCTGCCTGACCAAAGAAAACCCCATCGGATGCTTTAGTCTAATTTGCTACTACTCAATCTATCTCTACTGAATTCCAAGGAGTGAGGTGGCATTTGTGGAAACTTCCAGTGTGATTCTTTTTTGGGTCATCGGAGGCTCTTTTGTGATATCATTAGGGGAATTCCAGTTTGGAGTGATCCAGAATTTGACTCACACAAGATCTCACTAATTAATTGTTGCTAAAGTTGTACACACATCTAGATTACCAGTCTCTTATTTGCATCTATTCTGGGTGCTGGGGATTGAACCTAGGGACTCAAATATGCTAAGCACATGCTCTACCACTTAGCTACATCCCTGGCCCCAGTATACAGTCTAAATCATGTGAGGATATGTGTCCTGTAGGTCTGTGGGCTAGAATGTGAATTGAATGAGAGCAGTAAAGCACAGGCTCTGCTGGTACACACATTTAGGGTTAAATTTCAGCTTTATTTCTTACTCTTGAGAGCCTCCGGATAGTCCTTAACCTCTCTAAGTCTCCATGTAAAACCCTACCAATGTAATAGACTTCTCTGAGGATTCAGTAAGATTATTGAGAAAAAAGCAAGTGAAATAGTGTTTGGGAAGTAGTGAGAGTTGATTAATATCAGTTGTGATTTTCAGAATAGTCCGTGAACCCTGAAGAGCACTGTATTTTTACAAATAGTGAGAATAGAATAAGCCTCTTATGATTTGTATCAGTATTCTTGCCCAATACTATACCAAGGATCTATCAAAAGAAAGGTTACTCTTCATAGTTGCAGAGCTGGGCATATATTAAATGTTCTTTCTGAAGTCCAATTTTTTTTTAAAAAGAAGGTAGAGTTTAATGCATTGATATTCATCTGTTTTGGGCACAAGTGCCAACTTTAGTCTCATTGCATATGAGCTATATTCAATAGAGCTCACTCCCAGAGATATTTAGCTCTGAGACCAAAGTTTTCAGCTTAGATAAATGTGTGGAGAGTTCTAAATATACTGCAGATATTGTTGCTCCCTTTCACCCACTTCTCCCAGCTCTGGAGCTAAGAGTTGTTGGTGACCTTTTCCATAGCCACGCAGACAATTATTTTGGATTCTCTGGTGACTGTGCCATGACTCAGCCAGAGAGAAAAGCACTCGAAGTGACACATTGTCCTCAACTCAGGAGTGAGCACACTTGGAGTCCCTCTCCTCTCAAACATCCCATCGGCAAGTCACCCACTTCACATGACCAACATGACTCCAAGCCACCGCTGTGGTGTGTGTGGTGGATGGCGTGTGACTGATCCAACTGCTATTTTTCTTTTGGTCTAAACTGCAAAATCTACATGTTTGCTAGCTTATCAAGTAATAATTATGCTTTTATTTAAGTGTGAAATAAAATATCACCCCAAAGCAAAAACATTTCAGCAAAAATCTACCACTAATATCCCAGATATTTGAAAGTCTTTTGTTAGAATGAGAGGCTCTGGTACAACAGAGACTTGTTTGACCCCTACCTTCAGAGAGCACGTTGCAGCTGAGCTGCTCTGCACTAATATACAGAAGGTGCCTTCTATCGTGGCTTGCTGCAAAAGGAAAAAAAGCAGACCAGGACTCAGAACCCTTGGGTTAGGATCTAACCTCTGCACTCCTTGTATGGGGACTTAACACATTCTTAACTTGCACCAACCTCAGCTTCCTGTTTGTGAAATGACAAAGCTGGGCTACATGAGTGATTTTTAAAGTATGAGTGTGTTTCAGAATTCATGTGGGGGCTTGTTTACACTCTCTTCCTACCCTTCCCACTGCCCTGGGGTGACCTATGAGGTGCTGTTGCTGACATGTTGTGATTACCTCAAATGGATGTTGATGTCTTGCTCTATTTTCTTCTGGATGGCTCTGATGTTAGCTATAAATGTATGTTCTATGACCCGTGCTTCTAAATGGAATTTGTATTCAACACTGGATACTCTCTTTAGAAGTTAGTTTAGAATAAATTGGCTGTTATTCTAGAAGCTGCTGATGTTGCTGTGAATAAGGAATATCCTAGGCAGCCAAGCAAACTGATGCCACTGATCAATATTCTATAACCATGTATAGTCATTTTCTGTGTCTGTGGGTTCTTCACTGGGAATTCAATCAAGCACAGATTGGAAATATTTGACAAAAAAATAGCCTCTGTCATGAATAAATGTATACCTTTTTCTTGTCATTATTTCCTAGACAATATAGTATAACAATCATTTACATAGCATTTATATTGTATCAGTTGGTAATATGTAATCTAGAGATGATTACTATAAATGGGAGAATACATGTGGTTTGTGTAAATACCATACTATATTATATAGGGGTCTTGAGCATCCACGGATTTGAGTATCTGCAGGGATCTTGGAGCCAGTCACTCATGGATGGATAAGGGATGTCTACATAAGCCACTGAGAGATTGATTACTTAGACCAGTAAATACTATAATTCCATATAAATAATACTTTCAGGTTATACATTTCTATATTATCTTCATCTTACGCAAACAAATTTTTCTATAATCAAGAAAACAGATATTACAAAGACCCACGTTTGATCCCCGGTACCAAAAAAAAATACAGATATTAAACTTATATTATTATCTTTAAAAAATAAGTCAATCCAATCTCATAAGGTTTTGCTTTATTAAAATAATTTTACAACGTGTGTTGTACTGAGCCTTCCTCAGAAGTTAGATCCTTGTCCTTAAGGTAACAGTGTCAGAGAGACAAAATGATTGATGATGATGTTTGAACAATCAGCATCCGCAAGTCATGTTAAACCTGCTGCAACTGTAAGAGAAATACACAGCTTAGCGAAAAAGTAGTTTTGATTTTGTTTTTCTCTAAATCAGTCAATTTTTTTCTTTTATGTTTGTATAGTTAATGAAACAGCAGTGGTAGACACATCTCCATCTAACAGAAGCAGAGACCACAAACATTTTATGCGCTCTTCTTAGAATGATGGCTGTACTCTGTGACTATTCAAATGCCAATTTATATAAAACAATGACATTTAGAGAAAAGAAGAAGAATGCACACTCATTAGGTATATGTGTAAACTGTAAGTTCAGCAAAAAGTAAAGGAAGGATGAACTTT